GGTGGCATATCAAGGAGAGGTGTCCATTTGATATAAGGGTGGCATATCAAGGAGAGGTGTCCATTTGTTATAAAGGTGGCATTATCTCTGTGTGGTATTATATAACACTTTCTATTATATCCTTTAAGACTACCGTGATGTGGAATCTTTATTTCTTTGTGATTTAAAGATTTAGGATCAAGGTTCTTATTGGAAATCATAGTCYGGATGTTATTGAGAAGGAAACGTCAGGTTTGGCCTGAAGCTTTGTTTAAACCTCTTTTGATAAGAAAAGGTTTAAAATGATATTAAAAGGAACCCGATTGGTTCAAAGGTATGGAATTTGTATAGCTACATGGTTAGCTTGAAAGTGGAAAAGAATTTGATATTACCTTCTTGTGTATTCATATATTTGTGATATATGTGAATAGTTGTTTATAAAGGTTTTGGTGACCCTTCACCCTGCAATTACATGATTAGGGTAACTCACTAGACTCTTTAGTCTAACCCTCGTTTTTGTGATTTTAAAATGTGTATTGCAGGAGGTATAGAAGGTAAAGGAAAGGAAAAGATTTAATGCTTTTCTTATATGCATTCGGCTGCAGAATTGTTTTTGATGATTAGTGTTGTTGTTTAGTCCAAGATATGTATTTTGAATTTTTGGACCTTGTATTTGGTCATATTGGTAGATTTTTGTACTAAGGGACCTAGATGTATATGAATATGTATTTCTTTGGTATGAAATATGTGTTACATGCAATTATGTGGGTTGGGGCGTTACATTGATCTAAAGACACAGAAGAAGTAGAAGGTGAAGTAACATGAGTTTCAGTAAGAGTTATACCTTTAGTATTGGAGACCTCATGTTCTTCATCGGTTCTGGAAGTGGATTTTGCAGTTGGTGCTTGTCCAGAGATTACTTCTTCTTCGAAGATGTCTTCAAATAATTGAGCTAACTCTGATTCATTTGGTTTGCCAAGTGATGAATCAGATGCTCTCCTTTGAAGTCTGAGTTCTAAATTGTTGTGTCCAAAAGTCATTGGTGTGGAATCATCAAAGGACACATTGATGCTTTCGATGATAATTCTTGTCCTTTTGATGTAGACTCTGTAGGCCTTGCCAGTTTGAGAATATCCCAGAAAGATCTCTTCATCAGCTTTCTTTGAGTACAAATCATTTGCACCCAAAGACATGAAAATATTTGACATTTGGTCTTCTTTGGTTGATGAGCTCATAAGGTGTCTTCTAGTGCCTCTTGTTGATGATTGATCGATTATGGGTGAAGCAGGCAGTGGAAATAGCTTCAGCCCAGAATGTGATGGATAACTCCGATGAAGCAAGCATGGTCGTTGCTGCTTCCACGAGGGTTCTGTTTCTTCGTTCCACCACTCCATTCTGTTGTGGAGTTATTGCTGCTGAAAAGTTTTGTGTAATGCCTTCACTGATGAGGTATTCATCGATTTTAGCATTTTTTAATATAGTTCCATTGTCACTTCTAACCTTAATTTGTTTTCATTGTAGAAGGACTTGGAGCCTTTTCATCACTCCAATGAGTAGGTCAGGAACATCTGATTTCTTCTTTGCAAATTCAACCCAGTACTATCTGGACTATTCATCAACCAATACTAATATGTACTTCTTTCCAGAGAGGCTTTGAGTTGCTATTGGCCCACAGAGATCTATATGTACCATGTCCAAGGGCTTGGTGCAGGAGGTTTCTGACTTAGTTTTATAATAGGCCCGTCTTAGCTTTCCCATCTCACAGGCTGAGCATAGATGATCTTTTTCAAATTTAAGATCCGGAATTCCCTTGACCAGCTTTTGTGTGGCTAGTTTTCGTAATGCATCAAAGTTGAGATGCRAGAACTTTTGATGCCATAGCCAATTTTCATCGCTCTTATGAGACACAAGACAGGGGGTGTCTTGTCCCATAGAGGATTMAAAATCTAGAAGATAGAGATTTCCTTCTCTCTTTGCCTTGATGATTGTTTGACCGGGCTTTGTTTCTATGATACAGAAGCCTTTGCGGAACCTGACTTCAAGACCCTTGTCGCAGAACTTGCTTATGCTTAGTAAGTTGTGCTTCAAACCTTCAACATAAGCCACTTTGCTGATGGAGATGTTTCCTTTGATGAGAGTGCCATATCCCTTGATTGTACCCTTGCTGTTGTCTCCAAAAGTCACAGATCCACCATATTTTTCGATGAAGAAGGACAGCTGACTTTTATCACCAGTCATGTGCCTGGAGCAACCAGAATCCATGTACCATGGTTGCACATGCTGGTCCTGAAAGACAAATTAAGGGGTTTTAGGTACCCATTTCTTTATGGGTCCACGTTTGTTAGTAGGGGGTACCACTCTCTTTTCATTACCCTTAGCCTTTGCAGGCTTAGGTTTATTAGTATTTCCCTTTCCCTTGGATTTGGGTTGCTTCACGTTTTCATTGGTTTTAACTTTGTATCAATAAACGTGTTAGGAGAATAGGCAGTGATGTGTCAACATGTGATTCCTCAGGTTTTGTAAAAGAGTTAAACATTGACAGTTATGATGCTTTGGATATGTATGTCTAACGTTCTTTTTATTTGATGGAAACGAAGAAGTAAATCCAAGAGATGTAAATTCTGTCCTAGCATTGGTTGTTTTTACAAACTTCCTATCTAGTTCAGATTTTTTATTTGAAGAGGTCTTTGGCTTTACTTCTTTTCTCCTGAGGAAGGTATGTTTTTCTTCAGCTGAATGAGAGAAAAAGTGGTGGTTAGTTTTCTCAGAGGCAGGCCACTTCTGTTTTTGCTCACGAGTAAATTTGATGAACTTGAAGGATGTACTACGGCCTTGTGAGTTATCTTTGGCAGATTTGCTATTTCTTAGCTTTCCCTTTCCTTTGTCCGAAGATTTCATCAATGATGGAATAATAGTTTTCATTGAGGATTTGAAGTTTTTAGGCTTTTTATCCTTAATGATTTCTGATGATTCACATATTATCTCTTCTTCAAATTCGGAATCGAGAAAGTCTCTTGTTGATTTCTCGAAGTTAAAATTAGCATGAATGTTTGTGGGAGGTGTAGGTTCAGAGGTTGATGCTTCAGAGTGATCTGTTTGAGGTTCCATTGATTTTGACTTTGATGATGTTCCTATTTTACTTGGATGGTTCATCGACTCATCAGCTGATGGTTCCTTAGTAGGAGAACCTTTTCATCAACAGTACTTGCTGATGAAGTGGGATTGACAACTAGAGACTCTAGTTTGACTATAGGGTTTCCATCGGTCTCTGATTTGGAGGTGTCATTCCTTTCATCAGAATTCTTACATGTACTGCTCTCGTACACCACATTTTCAAAATCCTGTCTTAAAACGACTGTTTTTTCATCGACTTTAACTCTTTTAAAATTTGCTTTTGGTTTTAGGATAAAGTCGGGTTTCTGAATACAACCAAGCTTGAAGGTGGATTCAAGGGTTGATTTCTTTGTATCGATGAAGGAGTCCAATTCAATGAATCCAATCCCTTTTCATACACATCTTGGGCATCTTTGTACTTCTTCATCAGAAGTTCATTGCTTTGAAGCTTCGGGTGAAGGATCTCCCTTTCCTTTTGAAATAAATCTTTAAGAGCAACTGAGTTTAGTCTCTCTGCCTCGGATTCTTTTAAGGCCTTAGTTTTCTCTACTAAGTCCTTAGTTATTCGTTTGTTTAATTCCAGAAGTTTTTCTTCCTCTGATTTCTTAAGTGTGGTGATGCGAGTCTTTTCCTTAGAAATTCGGCTTTTTCTTCAGTTAGAAGGTCTATCTCTCTTTTGTAGAAACTTGTTTCTTTTTCCGCTTTTATTCTTTCAGATTTTTCAAAATTTAATTTCTCTTTTAATTTAAAGAAATCCTCTGAAAGTTTTATCACCCTTAACTCTAGCTCAGATGGAGCAGAGTTGGTTTCATTGGAAGTAGACTCACATACCTGATCATCAGAGTTGGAGGCAGATTCGGCATTGGACGTGGCAATCAGACAGATGAGTGATTTGTCTTCTTCATCGGATGAAGAATCAGACAC